GAATTTATTTTGTGAATTATTTTTATTATATTTACTTTATTCTAATAAAATTATATGAGCAGGATATTGCCTTTATTAAAAAAAAAAAAAATTGCGAATTCACATAATTTCATTTTCATGTACAACAGGTATTGAAAGAATATCTTGCACAGCACACACATTGCAACTATGTATAAAAAAAGCATTAAATTTCAATGACGATATCAAAGCTTTGGTTTTGAGAGCAAGAAGACTTGTATTGTTTTTTAATTCCCCCAAACAATTAGAGGCATTATTTAAGCAACAAGAAAGAATGAAAGAAGATTATCCTAATAATTTAAGACCAATATACGATGTAGCTACACGTTGGAATAGCACTTATTATTCATGGGTAAGGCTGTTGGATCTTAAGAAAGCTATTATTATTTTACAAAATCATATGTTACTAGATAATCATTCTGATACTAAAAGAGATGGGAGAAAATTGCAAAAATTATTACTGGATGATAATGAATGGCATTTAATAAAACAACTTGTTGAAATATTAGAACAGTTTGATACAATAACATCAACATTAAGTGGTAGGGACTTCGTTACATTATCTTTGGTTACTCCACTAATATTTTTTTTAAAAAAATCATTTTTAGAAACATTAATTACAATGGAAAATCAAGATGATGACAATAATGATTTTGATAATGAAATTATTGAACCAATTAATACCGAAGAGCTTTTGGAAGAAAACAATGATAGTCCACCATTATTATTAGAAGAAAATAATGAAGGTGAAGTAGAATTATATGAAGAAAATAATGGTGAAAGAAGGAAAAAAAAAATCAACATTTCAAGACCTATTAATACTGAAAGATTATATGGAAAAATCGTCTTAACTTTATATAACTCATTAAACCACTATTGGTCCACTCCCTCCTATTTAGCTATCTTTGCATCAGCATTGGATCCACGCTTTAAACATTTAAAATTTGTTAGTGATAGTCAACGTAATGAAATTTTAGTTTCATTAAAAAATCAATATAATTCATTAAAACAACAAGAAGAACAAATTGGCATCCCAATTCATTCAAGTATGAATTTACCACTAAGAACAAATTCTAGTAGACAAAAAAATATTTTTGATAATTTATTTGATGACTTGGAACAATTTGAACAGGAACAGGATGAGTTTGAAAAATATTTTAGTTTACCAACTGCATCAAGAACAGTCAACCCTTTTGCATGGTGGAATCTACAAAAAAATGAATTGCCAATCATGTCAAAATTAGCAAAAAAATATCTTAATATAAGTGCAACATCAGTTCCTTCAGAACGATTATTTTCTGACGTTGGTAATCATATTACACCCAGCAGAAATAGATTGTCAGCTGATATTGTTTCCAAGCTTATATTTTTGAAACGAAATTCACAAGAAACTAATGTGTTTAATTATTAATTTTAATTAATTTATATATTTAATACAATTTTTCAATATGTTATATATTATTATCATTTATTTATTTTTAATATTAACAATATTATTAAACAACAAAATTTTTAATTATATATTAACGATATAAAGTATAATAAATTTTTAATGTTAACGTAAATTTTTTACCTGGTGTGACTATTTCCTTTTTTAGTAAAGATTTACTTCGGTATTCACGGTATTCACGGTATCCGTGAATACCGTGAATACCGTGAATACCGTACCCCTGCATGAATTTCGGATACGATCCGGATATTTCCAAATGAATACAAACACTACAAACACTACGTAGTACTAATTTCTAAAAAAACAAACCTTATTATTTTATAAAAAAATAATAATGGATATATATGGACTTTGCCTGTCATTAATTGACATAACAGCAAAGCTTGCAAGAGATGCTTATAAAACAGCTGAAGATGCACGTTATACCAAGAAAATATGTTTGGCCTTAGCAGACAGATTAGAGATAGGATCGCGTGCTTTGTCTAATTTATATAGACACAGGGATGAAAAAGACAAAGAAAAATTTAAAAGTAGTAATTTCTATAACAGCCTTCAAAGTTATGTAAATGCGGCAACTGAAATCAAAAGATTTATTGATGAGGTTTCTAAATTGAGTGGAGCAATGAAATATATTAAATCAAGTTCTCATAAAGGGAAAATTATTCAACTTGTAAAAAGACATGATGAAGCTATTGCTGATTTAAAGCTAGGAATAAATCTTGATGAATTTAAAGAAATTCATGATTTACAAAATATAATGGAAACTGAATTTGAGAAAATGTCTTTGGTAAAATACAGATAAATAAATAAATAAACATTTATTTAATTTATTATTTATTATATGAATTTAATTCTAATCATCACTTTTATTATTAATTATCATTATCTCCACTATTGTTATTATTTTAATATTAATAGGCTTTAGAAACAATTGAAGCCAGTTTGAATAATCAATCAAATGATATGAAATTAATGATAGATACACTTGCATCAATGAGTAATAGTCATAAACAACCAATTGAAATTAAATCACTTGAAATTAAATCAATTAGTCAACATGATTTAAGAGATCCAGATCCAGAGCAAGTAGTAAAACGTGGAAGAGTTTTTAAAAAATTATTGGAAGGGTATAAACCAGTAGCATGTAAGCCATTTACAGATGAAGAATATAAAGAAGAAGACTTTTGTACTCGTTTAGCAATTTTAGGTAAATTGTTTTCATCAAACAATATTGTAAAATTTCTTGGCACATCATATGCTGATGGATACAGAGTACTGGTATTTGAATGGGCTGAATATGGCAATTTAAAATCTTTTTATGAAAAATATGATATTACTTGGCAACAAAAACTAAAAATTGTTCATGATGTTTGTGCTGGACTTGCTTTTCTACATGAATGTACAATTTTTCACCATGATGTTAGATGTGAAAACGTTTTAGTGAGTAATTAATTTCTATTTTTATTTTTTTTTTAATTCGTTTAACATACAACAACAATATATATATTGTTAATATTAATCTTGAAAATTTTTTTTTTAAAATTGAAAAGATTATGGACAATATTGGAAAAGCAAAAATTGCAAATTTTTCTCTAAGTAGAGAATATCATAATAAAAGTATACGAATTAAAGCTATAAATGAACTTATACCCTGGATGGCCCCTGAGAAACTCAGAGATCCTGATGGAGTCAGGTACACTTTAAAATGTGAAATATTCAGGTAAAGGAATATATATATCTATATATTAATTTTGATTAAATTATTAGTTTAACTAATTACTCAAATTTGTTTAGTTTTGGTATGTTTGTCTGGGAACTATCATTTCAACAAGTTCCATATTTTGATAAGCTTGATAATGATGGTGTAAAAATTACTCAGCATATCTTGGAAGGTGGAAGAGAAAGTGTAAGGAAACTTAGTCACTTTGATGATATTCAAAAATGTTTCAAAAACATAATAGTAAAAGGTAAATGAATGAATATTTATAAAGATCAACTTGAAACTATCATGTTGTAGTCCAATACAAGGTTGTCAATAGGCCAAATCCATTGTGACCAATGAGTTTTGGTCTGGTCCATTGTCATTAATAAAATACTAAAAGTTGCACTAATGGATCCAATGGACCGCCAATGGATTGTTATCACAGCCAACCTTGATCCAATAGTATCACATTTTTTTCTTTAAAAATTTTTTACTGCTGTGACAAATTCAAACATGCAGGTTTCTAATTTCACACATAATGGATATATATTTAATATGATTTTTCTTTTTAAATAGCTTGGAATCAAGAACCTTCATTACGACCAAATATGCCTATTTTTCTTACTCAATTAGTTACCTTATACAGAAATCATTATTCACCTAGACCTAGAAGTGGCATTGGCAAACAAATTACTCTTTCATTGGATGATGATGATCATTCATTAGGTACATTGAGTTTAGATGATGTTCCAAAAGTAATAATGACATTAGAAGATGGTATAAAACTTCACATGGATAAAAACAATACCTCAAGAAAATTGGCATGGGGATGTTTCAAATATCATGCTGAAGTATTGAAAGATCCTAGAGCAATATATTGGAAAGGTTATTATTTGTTGGAAGGATATGGCGGAGTTGAGAAAGATCTAGAAGAGTCATCTAGATGTTTCAAAGATGCTGCAGACCAAGATATTTCTGATGCTCAAGTTCGCTATGCATTCTCTCTATTAAAAAAGGTTGGTGATCCTATAAAGGCTGCTGAGTTTATAAGATATATGGAAAAGGCTGTTTTTCTTGAAAATCAAGTTGCTTTATATAACATGGGTGATATTTATTATGAAGGGAAATTAAATTTACCAAAAAATCAAAAACGGGCAATAATTTATTATAGAAAGGCTGCTTTGAAAGGTCATGAAAAATCAATTAAGAAACTTCGAAGTTTAAATATAAGTGTTTGTAAGTATTGCAACACAAAATAATTTTTATTAAAATAACATCTAATTCATCTAATTAAATAAATTTATTTTTTATTTCTTTATAATAACCAGTTGGTAAGTATTATTTTATAAATTAATAACACAAAATAAACTTTATTAAATAAATTTATTTTTCCTTTATAATAACCAGGTGGTAAGTATTATATTGTAAATTAACTCTTACAACGTGAAATAATTTTTATTAATTAATTCATCTAATTAAATAAATTTATTATAATAACAGATGGTAAGTATTGTATTATAAATTAACACTTACAACACATTATCTAATTAAATAAATTTATTTTTTATTTCTTTATAATAACTAGATGGTAAGTATTATATCATAAATTAACTTTCACAACACCTATTAGTAATAATGTTGAATTTAAAATTGAAGGACTACAGGAAATTCCTTCACCACAATTATCCAAATCGCCACCATCTTCTCCAATTAATCAAGATAGCAAAGAAACAAAGGATGAGCCAAACAATGGAATAATCAATGAAAACAAAACAATTATTGATAAATCTAAGAATAATAGTAATGATGATGAATTTAAAATTAAAGAAATTCTTTCACCGCAAATACCCAAATCACCATCATCTGTTCCAATTAATCAAGATAGCAAAGAAACAAAGGATGAGCCAAACAATGGAATAATCAATGAAAACAAAGTGATTATTGATAAATCTAAGGATAATAGTAATGATGATGAATTTAAAATTAAAGAAATTCTTTCACCGCAAATACCCAAATCACCATCATCTGTTCCAATTAATCAAGATAGCAAAGAAACAAAGGATGAGCCAAACAATGGAATAATCAATGAAAACAAAGTGATTATTGATAAATCTAAGGATAATAGTAATGATGATGAATTTAAAATTAAAGAAATTCTTTCACCGCAAATACCTAAATCACCATCATCTGTTCCAATTAATCAAGATAGCAAAGAAACAAAGGATGAGCCAAACAATGGAATAATTAATGAAAACAAAGTGATTGTTGATAAATCTAAGGATAATGAAGCAATTATTGATAAATCTAAGGATAATTGGTTAGGATGGCTCAAAAAGGCAATTCAGAATGAACACATTAATTTTTATGAATATAGTAGTAGGTTTAAAGATATTGAAAAAATTGGTTCAGGTGGTTTTGCAAAAGTTTATAAAGCAATATTAGACAATAGCAGTACTTGTGCTTTGAAATCCTATAAACATGGTATAGCAAATACAAAAGAAATTACCAATGAGGTAAATTACAATATATTTTTGGTTGTGGATTAAAAAAATTTTTCAGCTAATGATAATAATTGGCTCAATTAGTTGAAATTATTACGTAAAGTTGACCACCATCAAAATATTATTCGTTTCTATGGTGTCACTAAGAATGAGAGTATGTTTAAATTATTTCCTATTTTGATTTTCTCCATTAACTAATATTTATATTTATATATAAAGGCAATGGGAAATATTTATTGGTCCTTGAGTATGCAGATAGTGGAACACTAAGAAGCTACCTACAAGAAAAGTTTGAATCAATCAGTTGGGATCTAAAACTGAAATTTGCATATGAGATTGCATCAGCTGTTTTGTGTCTACATGAAAACAATATTATCCATCGAGATTTGGTAATTAAATAATAAATTTATTATTTTTTTAAAAAAAAATTTATATTTAATAATGTTTATCTTTTTGAAAAGCATTCAAAAAACTTTTTGGTTCACCAAAAAACCATAAAATTGACAGATTTTGGACTTTCCCGTAAAATACTTGAATCTGCAACCACTTCAACATTCAAATTGATAGGATTGATTCCTTATATTGACCCACAATGTTTCAAGCATAACAGTAAGCCAAACAAAAAATCAGATGTATACAGTGTGGGTGTTTTATTATGGGAATTGACTAGTAACCAACCACCTTTTAGTAATCACCATCAACAATTTACTTTAATGTTTAGTATTTCTCAAGGAATTCGTGAAGAACCTATTCCTAATACACCTGATGAATATATTAATTTATACAAAGGTAAAAAATCTATTATATTTAAAACTATATATTTATATGCATTAAATTTTTATTAATCATTTACTTCTAGAATGTTGGCAGGATGATCCAGAAAGCAGGCCTGATATTCAATATGTTGAAACTATGCTTAATGGAATGATTTCAGGCCCAAATATAGTTGATAAAGTTGATAAAAAGGAAAATTATGGGCAACAAAAAAATGAAGATAGTAATTCTTTCAGTCATCCCAGTACTATTTCAACAGAATCTACTGGCACTGGTTCACTGCAAAAAAAATTTGATAAAATCTTGGATCTTTAGAATAGACAGAACCCTGAAAATTATGCACACAACTTTGTTAATATTATCAATCTAATTGTAAATATATATGTACTGTGATATTATGTAGATTACTTAATTATTATATTCACACTTTCACTTTTTATTTATTATTATTTATATAACCAGTGCAGTGTTGTTAGCAGACACAGGCATGGACATGGACATTGACTGTCCTGTCCTAGACAAAGATATAAATTTTCCTTGTAATAATAATGTCACTTTTTGACCAAAATGAATAAATTTTTTTAATTAATAAATTAATCAATCAGCCAGGCAAGGGAATAATAGATGTTATGTAATTTTATTTGGTGGGAAGGAGGAGTAATAAAAAATACAATAAAATAATTTAGCTCATCAGGAATATTTGTGAACTATGTAATTTTTTTAATGCCACATCTATCTTATTCTTTTTCTATGAACTACACCTTTATAACCATTTAATCAAGTAGCTTGGTATACACCTTCACCTATCATTTCAATATTTGTTAAATAATTATAAGGAATCCATTCAAGATAATATTTATTAGAACATATAGTTGCTTTTAGTTATATTTTTAATCAATTCATCTAATGTTTCATTACTATTACATCATTTTTGTCGGTAGAAGTATCATTTATTTTCATTTAAAGTGCCAAAATTATATTTATATAGTTTGTGAATTTTATTTTCCACACAAAATAATATACTTTGATTTTAATATTTTTCCGATGTTTTGGCTCTCAACGTTGACAATTAATTTATACTGATATCAATGATACAATTTTTTACAGCTGATAGATTAAACAATGGATAGTTTTTTTTATAATATGTGCTTGTTCGAAAAATGAGTGATCTAGAAAATTTTCTTCAACTTAAAAAATAAATGCACAATTAACATTCTAATAAAATAAAACTTTGTCATAGACTCATTGTTTTTTACTAAATAAATAAATTTTTCGTGTTGGTGAGTAAATGAAGGTTGACAACGATTAGTAAAGTGATTTACTTTAGCGAGTAAACAAGATTTCAGTACTAACGTTAGTTAACTAGTGGGGAGTTAGTGAAGTATTATCCAAAGGTTAATTGAAAATATTAGTGAGTTATTGTGATCGTAAACGTAAGGCTTTTAAAGTGGTTGCTTAAATTGTTTGTAAATATACCAAAATCGGCCAGATAAAAATAAACAACTGAAATAAATCAGTCACAAATGAATAAAGAGAACTTTATAGAAGCCGTTGAGCTTTGTAAAAGTGCCATTTTATTTATTTGTGTGCTCGCACATTCGTCTGAATGCAAGAAAGAGGCAACCAAAGTAAATTTGTAAACTAATTAATTGACAAGCGCCGAATTATTTGCAATTAACTGACAAGAGTAGCCCAAAAATTAAGTCGTAGTCAGTGTTAACTAAAGCCACCTTGCAATATCACCATTGAACAAATTTTAATAATAAAAATTATGTAATAATGAAAATATATCTTATTTTTATATAAATATCAAAAACTATACTTTTGACTTTAGACACAGATTTTAACAAACTACTAATTATAATATTGAATATAGGGACATTCAGTATGGTATAACTCTTGTAATAAAATGGTTGTATACCAATGCTTAAATCTAACATACTTCCCTTCACACCCACCAAAAAAGGATTTAGAATAAAATTTTGTGTGACTTGGTACGGAAAAATATGGGCAATACCATACCATCCATACTAATACGTTCTGCAAGAGTTATACCATACTAATACTTAATCTCTCCCTACCGTATAATATTTCTATACAATTTTGAATTTGGGCACGGTTGAAACTAAAATGCTAAATATCATTAAATTCAGTTGACACCATTAATCAAAACAGAAGCTTCAAAGATATTGTATAACTTTTCGGCAAGAAGATTGCTTTCATTATATAGCACTTTTTATTATTATTAGTAATATATAAAAAAATAATATTTTTGAATAGGAGACACTTTTTTGTGCAGGTGGAGTTTCAAAATGTTGATATAGGATACAGATAATAACAAATGCATAGATCTTTTCGCATTAGCAATGACTGTTTATAGAAAGACGTTTCGTAATCGTAATCAATGTGTGCATCACAGAATGTCAAAACCAACTGACGGAAAGTTTTTTTCCATGAATTCAAAACCAAAGGTATTAAATAAGGAGCAAACAAACGAAAAAGGTTTTATTACATAAATCATCAGTTATCGTCAACCACCTTAACCTTTATAAAAAATAATATGTGACATGTATTGGAAGTGATAAAAGGCCCGGATGCTGGTCTCAGTTTTCAAAGTTGGATCAGAAAAGTTGACAAACAAAAGAAAATTTCTTGACAATGCTTCATCACATGTAGGAGCCTCTAGATGCTAGAATAGCTTGGTCATTCGAGTGCTGCTATAGAAAGCCCCTTTGTCAAACTTTATTAAATAACAGAAATCAAAGTCTACATATTTAAACAAAACAGTACCAATAGTAATTGTTGAGATAGGGATGAAGGTTTCCATTATCAGAATATAAAAGATATATCCGATTCAAAAATATAGTTTTGTAGTAAATAGAAGTGAATATGATAGAGCAACAGACGTTATTTATCCGAATTAACAGCTGTTTTTCGGAGCATAAAGTGAGGCAACTCTAATCAAACCACTTTATTCTTCACTGTAATATATGCAGAAGTGCATCCTACACAATTGTCATGATCGTAATTTACACACTCGCTACCATAAGCTACCATATTTGTTGCGAGTGTTTATCTTATTCCCAGTGTATCGTTAAGTTCTGGACTAATACATGCTCCGCTATAAATTGTGGTTACTTTGGTGGTAACAAAGTGTCCTCTGGTTTTTGTAATGTGATATATTATGTTTGCCACATGATTGACGTTTGTTAATGTTGTCAAATATGTCGGATTGATGAAAAAAAGGTGCATGGAGATTTGTCAAAGAAAATTAGATCATGATGATAATAAAACCATCATTAATTTAATAAAGTTTAAATTAAATTGAGAGCTTAGCTTTGAAACAATAGTTGCCTTTTTCGGCCTTGTTATAAAAAATCAAGGACCATTTGAGCAAAGGATTATTGATTTCTTTATTGTATCTTTATATATCGAATATTCGAATATAAGTATATCTAAAATTTCACTCGATAATTTTTCTTTTTCCCTTTCCTTTACAAAGTAATTGATAGATTCTCTTTTTTAACGACACTGTTAATATTAATATTTAATGCCACACAAAAAAGAATGTTACGCAGCAGGATTTTCATATTTTAAAAAGATTGATAAATTAATAAATTAATATTAAAAAAAAAAAAAAAAGAAAAATGGGAAATAAAAAGAAAACTCTACGTAAATCTAAAACTGTTCCTATAGGATGGGGAACGAATAAAAAAGAGTATTACGATGCAGAAGAGCTATCTGATTTGGACGAAGCAAAGGAAGAAGAAAAAGAAGTATTGAGATTACAAAAGATGAGAATTAGTAAAATGACCGAAGCTGATTTTTTTGATGACGATGATAATTTGAAATTTATTAATGTAGATAATAAAGATTTAAAAATTGAAAAAGATATTGATTTGGAATTTTTAAAAATTTGGATATTTTAATAATAAAAATTTTAATTTTAGGAAATAAAACATGAAGATAAAGAAGATGATGGAAATGGTAGTAATGAGAATAATGAAGATGATGATGACGATGATGATAGTGTTGATGATAGTGTTGATGATGATAGTGTTGATGATAGTGTTGATAATGATAGTGTTGATGATGATAGTGTTTATGATGATGATGATGATGATAATGGTGTAGAGATAGAAGTTATGAAAGAACGTTATGCTAATCTTCCAAAGAGTGATATCATTAAATTATTAGAAAATCAATCTCCTGAACTTATCAAATTATTGAATGAATTTAAAGAAAAATTATCAATAATAAACGAGTCAACTAGACCAATAATTGACAAGTAGGTGTTGTTGATGCTACCATCATCATAATCATAATATTTAATATTTATTTTTACTAAAAGTAAAAATTAACAAATAAATTTTTAGAGCAAAACAAAAAAGAATTGTTGATAATCCAATAATGGAGTTTTTGTTTATAAAACACCAGACATTATTAAATTATCTCACAAATATATCATTTTATCTTTATCTTAAATCTTCTGGGACCTCAATCAATTTGTTTGAACATCCAATAACTGATACACTTTTGGAATTGAATAATACATGGAAAAAATTGGAAAAATTAGAAATAAAAATGAAAAAATCCATTGATTTATTTATTGAAAAACTGAATGATGATAATGTTGATGGTAAGATATATACATCTTTACAATAAATTAATATTATTAATAATTAAAAATCAATAACTTGCTCGCACGTTTAATAATATATTTATAGTTATAGATTGGCAGATTGAATCAAATATTATTGAACATGAAAATCAAAGTTTTCAAGAAGAAAATGATGATGAAATTAATTCGGAAAATGAAAACAACAAATATTATGAAGAAGAATTATTAGAAAATAACTCTTCTGATCTGGACAATTCCAAACCTTCTTCTTCACCAAAATTGACTCCGACAATATTAACATCCGTAGTAGAAAATGAATTCGTAAGCCTTAAAAAAAAGAAAAATAAACGCAAACTGGTAATTTATTATTTATATTCAAATATATAATAATAAAATATATACTAATATGTATTAATATGTATTTATTTATATATTTTTAGGAATCGACTGATTTTGGTGATTTGGATGTGTTGGATGAAGTAGACGCAGAAGATAAAATTCAAAGAAAAAAATCTTTACGTTATCATGTTTCCAAAATTGATCAAGTAAATATTAATATTTATAGATTTTTTTTTTATGAAATTCATTGGAAATCTTGCAATTAAAAACAACAACAACAACAACATTGATTTTGTTATTATTACTACTAATCATAATAGAAACTTGCTAAACGTGAGAAAGCCATTAAATTAAGTGGAGATGTTGATCTTCCATATAAAGATATAGATGATGAAAATAAAAGAAACATTAATAGTCGAATTAATAATAACAACAACAACAACAATAATAATTATAATAATAATAATATGCGTTGGAACAATGATGGTAATGATGCCCTTGATGATGGTCATGAAGATGACAATGATGAATTTTATCAAAATATTGTGAAATTTAAAAAGACAAAAAAAGTTGAAAAGAAATTACAATACAATCAACAAAAAGAAGAAAACAAGTAATTTAATTACTCTCGCTCGCTCTCTTTTATAACTTATTATTTTAAATTTCTAAATTTTTATTATTTTTATAATTTTAGAATTGTTTCATATGAAGATGATACACTTCCAAACGGCACTAAACGAAAAATCAACTATCAAATTTACAAGAACAAAGGTCTTATGCCACATAGAAAGAAGGAACAACGTAACCCGCGTGTTAAACATCGTAATAAATACGTTAAAGCAAAGAAAAAGATCAAGAGTATTAAACCTGGTGTTATCAAACAAAAAGGATTTTATGGTGGCGAAAGTACTGGTATTAATGCTGGAATATCAAGAAGTGTCAGATATTCGTAATACTATTTATTATTTTATACTTTTTATTTATGAAACTAAAACTTTATAATAAATATGAAACTTGATCTGTCTAAAAAAATTTCCTTGATCACAAAAAAAAAAATCAATTCTAAAATGCAATTTATTGAAATAACTCAAATTCTTTATAAAATGAAAAGATTATATATAGTATATAGTAATAGTAAGGCGGAAAATTTTCTGACGCAAAATTTTGTCAATTATATGCAAGTTTTTACGCGAGTTTGTAATAATGGTCACGTCCGAAAATTTTCCCCGTGTTATTATTCATAATCCTATTACTATACTTAATTGAATCAAATTGGCCCTTATTCATATCATCTAATCTCGCGTACATTTTTATATATAACAAAAAACACTACTAGCAGATCAAATTTAATTTTTTTGAAAAAAAGTAATATACCCAGTAAAGTTGTCATGGATTTTGGTTCAGATGAAGAATTTTTTCAACCCGTAAAAAAATATAATCCTTCAAAAAAATCGCCTTTATCATCAACGCGTTCTTCAAAAAACCATGCTGAAACTGAATTCAATAATAATGATGATGAACGAAAAAGTGTCATTTCACAGACACAACTGCTTCAAGAATCAACAAAATCTCATTCTGGTAAGTTTTTTTGACTTCAATTGTTAATGAACTGCAAAACACTTTTTGGAATATCGTGGCAAAGATTAATATTAAAGGGATAATAAACTAATAAGATCTAAAAGTTCTTTTTTAATTGTTTAATAAGTTTTTTGATTTATTTATATTATTAAAATAAAAGAAAATGTTGAAACAATCACTACTACAAATGACATTAACACTAACACCATCACCAGCACTTCAGCAATTCTTAAAAAATTACTTGAAAAGAGAAAAAATAAAAAAGATCTCTCTCTTTCAAGAAAACAAAACATTCCTTTACAAAAAAAGGATACTGCACCTCTAAAAAATTCACCTGGATTTAATTACCAAAATAAATCAGAATTATCTTGTTTGACAATTTCCGAACCTCAAATTCTTGGTGGCACTTCTAATTTTAATATTAATACAATCTCAACAAAATTAGACACTTATTCATCATCATCATCATCGTCATCATCACCATCATCATCACCACCATCATCATCATCATCGTCACCATCATCACCTTCTTGCAATGATAATAAAAATTTGATTCATGTTAAACAAGTTCTTATAAGAAATGAAACATTTTCAACAATTGATATTGTTGATCATAAAAATATGCTTCCTATTACTACTAATGCATCTGTTAACAATGGTCTTCAGAAATTAAAAATTTCAGGTGATGATCAAACAGTCTCTTCTACTGTTACAACTGCTGCTGCTGTCATTGTCACAATCACAGCTAATGCTACAACTGCAACTACTAATATTTCTCCAACTGACAATCACATTTCACTCCCTGACAAACGTAAAGCTAATGATGATGTTGATCAGGAAGAAAATTTCACCTCATTACCAATTGATGTTCCAGGTGTTGAAAAGAGGAAAAAAATGGAACATTCGAATGAGAGTGAAACATTGCCAAAACTAACAAAAAGGCCCAGGATTGATAAAAAGTCAAATGATAAAAATTCTTTTGCTGGTACTGAAATAATTTGGCTATCAAAAGCTAAAGTTTGTCCTTATTGTGACAAAAAGTGGGCTTGTAAAACAGATAATGTTAAAAATAGAATTGCTCACATGAAAAGATGTGGCAAAAAACTTAAAATCTCACCTGCAGATATGGTTACAATAGTAAGGGAGGTGAAGGAGCAGATGAGTCAGAATAATAATTTATCATCATTATCATCATCAGAATCAGAGTCTTCATCTACCATTATCATTCCTCAAGACAAATCAAAAGTTAAAAAACCAAAACAGAAAAAAATTATTGATTACTTTGCTGATTCTGATTTTGAAGATTTCAAAATAGTATCAAGGCCAATCAAAAAACTAGTTGATCCGAATAAAAATAAAAAACAAAATGGAAAACAGATGATGGCATATGATTTAAACACTACACCCATCTTACCTCCAAATGATGCAATTAAACGATCAAACAGACTTGCAAAAAAATCATTTTTAAGCAAGCCATCTATAACTGAATTTACAAAATATTTGCCATCATCACCATCACTAGCAGAATCAAATAAAAGCAAGATAGGTGAACATTTTAAAATGATCATGGAAGAAAGACCTAAGAGCCATAAAAGAAATTATACTTTGTGGCAAATTCAGGCATTTGGTGGTGAAGATTGCCCATTAACTATCAATGACTACTATATTGACAGTGTAAAGAAGGTATATGCAGATTTTGAGTTTGATGTAAGTACAAAATATCATTATCTATTCATTTGTTGATTTTGTTCATTATTGATTAAACAATTAAACAATTCTTTTCACCTGAATTTAGATTGTTCCCAATCAAAAACAAAAAATACTTTGAATGATGATAGAAAAAATTTTTTTGAAGGAGTTTACTCGTGTTGATGTATATTAAAGCAAATTTTATTTTTGTAAAGTTATCTAAAATTTTTTTTTTTTTTTAAATAAAAGCTATTTTTTCAATGATATAGATGTTGTAGTTTGATAAATAATTTAATTTAATGATTAAATGGATTGGCATAATACATAGCAATTAAGAAACATCCTAAATGACCTGTTGAAGAATGAATGTGCAGTTTGATATGATATGTAAAATATTTAACAAGTACTATTTATTTAATAATGAATACAGGAAAGAAAAATAAATAAATTTGTCTAAAAAAATTGTTTTAATTTTTTTTTTATCATTCACTACAATCACTATGACCAACACCAATACTAACACCACCATTATAACCTTCAACATCAACATTATCATTACAATCCCTAACATTATCACTACTACCATTATTTTTTAAATGCATTGGCATAAATACTGAAGCATCACTGTTTAAATTATATTCAATTAAACTATTTGGTTGAATTTTTTTATTTGATAATTCATCATCGCCATCTATTGATATGGTAAATTGTTGTCCTGGTTTGTTTTGTAATTTAGCCTGTTCAATTAATTTACTAAGTGGGCGGCTTGTATAGAATGCATCTAAATGGTGTTTATAATTCTTTGCTCCTGAAAAATATTCTTCTGATTTAATTATCTCTTGACGCTTTGTTTCTGCTAATTTAATGATTTTCTTATTTTTCTTATTATTAATTTCTCCAGAAGGACCAATATCATATTCCCAGAAACATTTCTTAAGTTCATCAGCAGTTGGTCTATTTACTGGATTTGGATCCCAACATTTTTTCATCAATTCAGCATAGAATTCAGGAGTGTCTTTGGTGACTTTAGGTCTCATTCCTCCCAGAATATCCATTATCAGATGATGATCATGTGGCACATTGTAAAAAGGTTTTTTACCTGTGGTGAATTCCCACATAATCATTCCAAAACTATAAATGTCTGATTTCTTTGTATATCGTTTGCCTGATAATACTTCAGGTGCCAGGTATGGGATGACTCCAAAGATCTCATTTGGATTCTCATTTTTATCTATTATTTGTTGACATAATCCTAAATCTCCTATTACACAATGATATTGACTATATGAAAAAATATTACCACTGTGCAAGTCATGATGAATATAATTCTTTTTATGAATTTTCATTAATCTAATTATTTAATAATAGTAATAAATGTATAAAGTTAATTTTATAAAAAGAAAAATTTAATAATAAAATTTAAAACTTACCCTCCTGAAACCGAATGAAGTGAAAAAATTTTATTTCTCCAAATAATTTTCTTGAAATTTTTTGATAAATAATTATGTAAATCTCCATTTTCTGCATATTCAAATACCAACATATATTCATTTGTGCTCGGATCTTTTGTAATCCCAAAGCATTGATTGACATAAGTATTCATTTCAATATTTGCTTCTAACTAAAATTATCAATAATTATCAATATAATTGATATTATTTATTATATAATATTATATGACAATAATGAATGTTACCTCTTTTAAAATATCCATGATTTTATCATTTGAGTTATATACTTTTTTTAATACTACATTTCTTCCCAAACACCAAATTGCTTTATAAACTTCACTAAAGCCACCTTTAGCTAAATATTCAATATTTTTGAATTCATCAAAGGGAATCCATCTAATATAACTATTTCCATACTTATAAAGAAACTTGGCTATTTCTTTATTTCCACAATCGGCTGTTATGTTCTTCAATTTCTTTCCTTTACAATCATTGCATAATACAACTCTATTCAATCCAACTGCTATGTAAATTAAAACTTTATTTGATTCATGAATTAATTTGAAACCGTTTTTATAAATTCCTTTTCCTAATCTATTTGAAAGTTTTTTTAACAAATTAATTGATTTATATAATAAATAAATAAGATCATTATCATTATAAATAAAACCATCATCAACTTTTAGCCAAAATTTACTAAATTTACTCAGTGTCTTAATTCTCTTAATTTGCATTATCTCTTTATTACAAGCAGTACAATTTTCTGTTAATTTTAAAGTTGCAAGTAATTCATTTAAAATATTGTAAATTGTAACAAATATATAACCAAATAAATCTTCATAACTTGGATAAGTTGATTCAATCAATAGTTTTAATTCATTCACCAATTTAATTGCCTCCATCTTTAAATAATCCCTCGTATTTATTTATGCGAAATATTATGTAACACCAAATGTCTAAATGATTTAACCAAAACAATTTGTATCACACGTGATTATAAAAATATTAACATTATTTTATTTTATTAATAATACCATTACTACCATCACCATCACCAGTTATACTGATAATTTCAATAACAAAATGACAAAACTAAAGATTTTGGATTTGTGGACAGGTGATTGTAATAATATATTAATGACAATGACTTATTATGTTCATTAATTAAATCATGATTGATTGATTAGACTCAATTGAAAGTTGGAATGTTTCCACAAGTGAAAATTATCCAAATTAATTGTCAAAATTTAATCAATTATAGCGACAACATCTAATTTTTTTGTGTTGTCTCTCTTTATTACTGGATGCCTTTACAAACTCCGTGTGGGGACGATGGAAAGAAATTTTCGTATCACATTATTACAGCTTAGTTGGTAAGTGTAACAGTTCTTTTTTTTGTTAATTGTGAGATATATAGTTACCCAACTTTAAACCAGCATGGTGGACATTCAATTTGTGTTACAAGGGGGTAAACAACAAGTATCACAAAAATATTGAGCGTTTATTGGTTAATTATTTTTTAATGTTAATAATATAATTAAATATTAATATATAATGTTTAAATATCCGTTGTATTGAAATTATATATTGCAAGCCTAAGTTTTTGATCCAAATTGTTATCAAATGTTACATTAGGAATATCATCATCAATTGATGGATTATCATTTGAATTTTCATTATCATCATCATCATCATCATCATCCTCATTTTCATTCCCATTTTCATCTAATATAGATGTATTTTCTATATTTTCCAATCGTTGTATATACAAATTACCTAAAGTTTTAATTCCATTAATAAAATAATCTAAACAATACTGACATTTGCAATTTAATTCTTGAAAACATATATTATGATACGCATGACCACATATCAAAATGTTTGAATTACAATCCTCTCCAATATTGCAATCCTCATAATCACACTTAATATTAGGATCTGGTGGATTTGATGTATGATATCCTGAAGGTAATGTACAGAACTGAACTTCCAAATTAAATGTTGGTAAGGTATATGTTTTCTTTTTGCCCTTTGGAATTATTTGTTCATTATTTTTATTTGCTAAAATTTTTTGGAAAAAACCTAATAAAAATACTGCAGATTTTTTAACCATCATATCAATCTTTTTTTTTGTATATGGATATTTTTTTAAATTTAAAAATGGACTTAGAAATTCAGAATTATGACGTTTGAAATCTATTGTTAAAGCATCACGTCGTAAACCATCTGGATTAAAATTTTTTTTTGCAGTATTTCTACGAACCAAACTATGAAAGTTTTCAATAAAATATTCATTAAATTCTGATAAATGTTCCTTCAGGATATCATACATAGGATGATCTATAGTTAGCCAATAAAATATATCAGAAAGAAAAGCAATCATGATTTTGTCATAATTTTTTCTTTTAAATCTCATCATTACCGTCCATAGTCTAAAAATTGTTTCAATATATTCCTGAAAATGGCCTTCCCTAAATAATATTGCGTATACATCCAAGGTAGAAGGAATAAGACTATCTAATAATTCTAGAAATATTTGGTATTCAGTATTTCTAATTGTTTGAAATTTTATAATAATATGTTTTCTTATAATAGACCATCCTGAATAAGCCAAATGTAAAATCAAATTAATCATCCAAGGTTGTGGTGTTAAAGAAACATTTCTTCGTCTTTGAAATATATCTTTATATAAAAGATTGAAAAATGGATAATATTTCTTAAATGTAGTTTCTCTGGTATTTAAGGAAACATGAAGAGGGCCTAATAAAGGGACAAATTTGATGATTTTATCAGAAATACCTGAATTTTCTTGATATCTTTGCCTTAGTGTAATTGCTTTCCATATAAAGTATTGTCCAGGATAGTCAGCTGGAACTGGAATAATAAATTCAGATAAGTAATTGTCCATTAAAGGTATTTTTATAAACAAATCAATTGAATTTAAATAATCATCTAAAGATTTTAATTCTTGTGGAATAAAATCCACAAGTTTAACTGTATCCATTTTACGTGTTTCCATATGATTAATATGTAGATCTGATTCGTAGTTATGAATAGTTAAATGATCAATTAATGAATCTTCTGTGAGATTTGATGAATCACTTATGCAAAACCATGATGATTTCCTTTCTACATAACTAATTCCAAAAAGTGAAATATAATCATTTGTTAAAACCCAAGATAGCAAATCTACATCAATATTGAGAGGATTGTGAAGTGGTTTGTTCATATTTGAAAAATATGGTATTGGTGAAATCTTAGGTGTATGTATCATAGTATTTGCCATATGAGCAACTTGAGATAGCTTTTCATCTGTTGGATTCCTTGATTGGTGGATGTCATGGTAATCATCAATTAAACCTATTATAAGAGAGTTTATATTTTTTTCAATATATTCTTCTAAATTTTCTTTGTGTTTATTAACAATTTCATTTTTTTCTCTTAATACAGTTTTATATGTTGTAGTAATTCCACATTTCAAAAGTAAATTTATTCCAGCTGCAGAAGTACCAGTTGAAGACATATGTAATGCTAATTCTTTTTTTCCCAATGTTATTTGTTTGTTTCTTAGACCTGCAATTTGATAACAAAGTATTATAATTTTTTTTTTTAAATCTTCTTGAGTTTTTTCGTTTTTTGAAGAAGGATTCATACTTTGATAAAGCATATCAAAAAACCCAATCAATTCCGAGTCTTTTCCCTCAATAATTTGAACAAACTCATCAGGATCATTAATTGGAGGTTTATTTTCTCTATGTTGATGATTATAAAGGACAGTTGACATTTTTTTTACTTGTTCATTAAAAAATTGTGAAAATTCAATCATATCTACGTAAAAAAAAAAAATGACAATAAAAAAATAATATATATATAATTAATTTCCTTTAAAAATTTTTTTTAAATAAAAAAAATTTACAATTACAAAAAAATAATTTTTAAATAAAATTTTACAATTACCTTTAATTTTATCAACAGATGGCCTTGTAATAGACTCCATTTCTTGTTTTAAGTTATCTATACTGTTTTTTAAATTATCTATTTCATTTTGTAAATCTATTATTTCTGAAGAAGATATATTAGTATTTAATTTATTTAATTCTTTTCTTAATTTTTTTGTCGTTGGTAAATATGTTTCCTGACTAGTATTAAGTCTATGTCTTTGATATTTGATGTTTCTATCCCATTGAACCTTCGAGGTGTAACACTTTGTACAGAGAGAATCACCTATATTAAGTTCAAAGCATCCTCCTCCTTCAGCTTTTCCTTTACTAGTTTCATTTATTGTTCTAAAATATTCAGATTTAGTTTCTTTACAAAGTGCGCATTGTTTAATTTTTGGCATTTTCACTATTATACACTGAAATCAAGGAAGGTTTGATCTAGTTTGATCTGACACAGAAAACGTTTTAAAAGATAAAGGATTATAATACTGCAAAGTTTGAACACAGGTTAATTAGTGTTCGTCCATTCACCT